TAACAATTACAAAAGCTGATGTTTCGAGCGTTAGCCCTTCGTTGGAGCGAATAGAGGAATTGTGGGTTGTGTGTGCCATGTTCCCACCAATAACGTAGCTCCATTTTCTGCCTTTAAAAGCACAAACAACCCACAATTCCTCTATTCACTCTGATGAAGGGCTAACGCTTGAAACTTCAGCTTTTGTAATCGTTACGGTGGCCAATTTACCATTTCAACTTTGTTGATATATCCAAATTATTTTGTTACCACCAACGCAGCCCCAAACAGTTTCTTTAGAAACTATCAGCCTTTATGGATAAGGTAAAGTCTGTTTACAAGCATATTGGCCCATTAGGCCGGTGCTTAACTCTGGTTTCTGTAGCATGAAGTGACTAGGAGTATTTCTACTCCCCCCTGGACGGGATGCCAGTCCATTGCTGGGTTACCCCCAGCATTAAATTACCGGTACCCATTTAAACACCTGGGTAAAGAGAGGCCACCAACCCTGAAGGCGCACCAACCATGAGGCCACTGCGCCTCCACAGCACTAGTGGATAGCCCGCACCTTAAAAGGAAAGAAAATTTGTACAAAAAGGCTCTAGAATTCACAACATTTCACACGACAGAATGCGAATTCATGGCCACATTTTGTGTGAGCAATCATTCAACACCATGTTGAATTGTTGACTTCTCAAAAAAATTGATATCTCCGGTTCTATTGGGCTTAATAAGTCCCTTAAAACAGGAAAATTCTATTCAGCTCGAGCTAGTGTTAACTGGAAATTTGTTACTGATGCGCTGGATACGCTTCGATTATTTTTGTCACCATCTAGGTTTTGTTTACACGTGTGGCAATAAAAATTTGTTCGTCGCGCAACTTATTGTGCGTGAAATAAACTCAAGTCGACATCATGTTTTCGTGCCGTTTTGTGGCACTCTTAATACAATAACATTCATTTGAGAGGTGGAAACTCAGGGAGGTGAGAATTTTTTTCAGTTTAACTACCTGTAGATTTCCAAATTGTCACATAACCTGCACCTCCCTATTATCCACAGTGGCGTGGGTTCAAGGCAAAATCAACAGATTACCCGCGGGTAAATTACTGTAACACGAGTGCAAAATTACAACACGAGTGCAAATCACAAATAGCATGCATTATCAAAATTTCATCTGTCTTGAGTTTCTGTGATGCCTTTTTCATCTAAATTATTAATAAGACAGTAACAACATGATTCCTCCTGCAATTTAGTGTAGTAAGCACTGGTAAACTTTTCAAAGAATGCAAATTGCACTCACCTGACAGACTTGCGCAATTTTTTTGTCTTTAAAAAATGTTCTGAATGTCCTTATTGACACCAAATTGCACTCAAAATCATGTTCTTACCTATACTTAATAACCATTGACCAGCTTAGTACCTAGTATTAACTAGTTTACAGTACCTGAATAAATAGCCATGAAGTAACAAGGGCAAGTCCACTGTACTGACCATTGAAACGATAATGATATGCATAAAATGCAAAATGATACAAGTAGAAGAACCTAAGATAGAATGAATATTGGAACACTTTAACAAGATGTTCAAGAGGAACAGTCACTTTATAAACTGTATAGCTTCACTTTCACCTACCTGAGCCAGAACTTTTTACTTTGCTGAGTATGACAGCAAATGGCATCATATTGATCAGCTGTCCATACTATCAGGATGATGTAAAAGCTGGTTGTTGTGTCATTAAAAAACTCTGACATGATAGCTTCCATCCCTGTAAGAATAATTGGAAATGCTTTCCTTATATTGCATTAAGCAACTCCAGCTAATTTACAAGAACTCCACTCAATAACCAGAAAAAATTTATATTGCAAATCCCCAACTGCCAGAAGACAAACTAGTGGCTGAATTGGCAGAGGGCAAATAAGTTAACCTGTTTATATCTGCGGTCCACAAGGGAAAACTTTAATGACTTGAATTTTTTATTTCAACAGTCTACACCTTTTGCAAACATGTAATCTCAACAAATTATAGCGGGGCTCCCATGCACGCCTGGAGCAGAGCCCCATGCCCATGGAATATGGTCAACCTCTTTTCGTTTGGTTGTCACGTGACAGACCAAGCGTACGTACATATGTACGTACAGATGTGCCTTCAGATTGCATGGGTAGGGTAGGTGAAACCATCAAAACAAAGGGAGGGGTGTCTCAGGCGAGTCTTGGCAAATGCACATCTTTTATGTTATCATTAATATTATGAACTTGGGAGCTCTGCTTTTAGGCTTGGCTAAATCTATATATCATGTCATGCCTGCAAAGCATCAATTGGGTACCTGTTTAAGTGTCTATGTATACAGTTGCCCAATTGGCATGTTGCTCTACTAAATCTTCAATAACAATAATAATTAAAGTGAGGTGTTAAAATTCAAATACTTACAATAAAAATTCTTTTGTTTTGGTACCATTAGTAACTATGCAGACTAGTACCAAGAAATTGTACATGTAAAACATAAGTCACTTACCCACAAGAGAGAGAATAACTGTGAACAAAGGTGCTGCAGGAAATGCTATTGTCACATTTAAGTCCAACATCTGAAGCAAATTCACTTGAGAAAACCAAAAGAAAAAAAAATTTGGCATGACTAAAAATGAACCAAACAAAAGTCCACCAATGTTGAAACATGCACAGATTGCATCTTTTCTACACAAAACTAATTCTGTCATAGAATAAGAAAGATGGTAAATGTTGAACTCTGTAAAGAATTAGAGAAAGATGTTGTTCATCTTGTCACCAGCGTGGGACAAAGATCTTTACCAAGCTCAAACTTTACAATCTTTCTTATCCTATTTTAAACATGGTGCTATTGACATTGCAGATCCTAACAGTATGAAGGACCCGTGTCAAGTGAACTTCACAATGGACCTTGCTCACCATGAGTCTCTGTGGCTCAGTGGTAGGGCATCTGAGCACTAAATCCCAAGGTCTGAGGTTCAATTCCTCATAAGGGCTCACAATTTTTCTTCATCCCAAGATGAACAACGTCTTTCTCTATTTCTACACCGTTTACAAAATTTCATTTCTCACACTTATGAGAGAGATTTTTAGTTAAACCTGCAATGAAGGCTTCAAGTGACAAACATAAGAACCTGTGAGGATCATAGTCACAACTGAAGTATACAAGTGGAGTCTTGATGCCTCTCATCAGAATTATAATTGATAATATGATCAGTATTCACAACTATTACTTAACATATATTTGAACTGAAACAAGGACTCACCAATGAAGACAAAGATTTGATGATGACAATACCGCAAAAGCATTGAAATTGAGATTGTCTGAAAAGAAAATATAATTAAGAGTAAGTTTGCTGCAACTCACTAGTCAATGTGTCGCACAGCAAGAGGGTAAAAGTCTGAAGGGCTATCGCAGCATTATAAATTTACAATTCGAGAACACAATTCACAGCAATTCTATAGCAGAGATGTGATTGATGATCCCAAACACAACACTAAACCCTGGAGAAAACACCAAAGCAATTATCTATTCATGGACAAGTAGCTGTCACACAAAATTGATTATGCAACTTTAATTTAATATAAAATTATCTGTTTTTCCGAGATTTATATTTCGGTCTGCTACATGTATGGTTACTTTCATTTTTTAGACCCACATTAGGATAGAGGTAACAGGCTAAATTACTTACAAAAATGAACATAAGAACAAGAGCCACCAAGTATGATGTGCGTGCCATCCACATACTGACAAAGCGAAAATGGTCTCCAGTCACAACATTACGTAGGTAACCTGTAAGGTATAGAAAAGTGGTTATCAATAAAGACAATTTTGTGGTAACTTAACATTCTTATCATGCAAGTTTAACAATTCCTTTTCTGAGTTGGGTTGTTTAAAAGGTGGTTAGCAATAACAATTCCTTGATTTTCCTGCAAATAAAGCATATATTGGAGCTAACATTTGGATGGGTATCACCTTAGCATATGACATAAACAAAAGGAAAATTGTAAGCAATTAAAAATTGTCTGCAAAAGCTACAAAACTAAATCAAAATTGATACCTACAGGGCTGGACACTAACTTTTCAATTTACTAGCTATGTGGCTAGTGACATCTTAGATTTTACAACAATTTCAGTTTGTTTACTAACCAACTTGGCTAGTGGAAATTGAAAACCACAAACCAAAACTAAATTTCTACTAGTCTGTGTCAAGCCCTGTACCTAACCCTCAGTTACCATTTAAGTTAATCCTTGAGGCAGCTTCTCTAAAGTTGTGATGATTTTAAGTTACTGAAAAAAAAAAGAAAAAAACACAAAAAAAAAACCAAAATAAAATGATATTATCAGTTACCTTTGTTGTCTTCATATTCTGCCAGCCTTTTGACACTTGACATCAATACATCATCATATCCAAGGAACTCATCCAACAAGAAACGACTCAAACTATCTCCAAAACACTGCTCCACTGCAGGGTCTAAATAAATTCATGGATAATGTAAAATGTTGCTGTTGTTTTTTTTTCAATCAGAATACATTTGTGACCCTGCATGGGAATATGGACACTAACGCTTTTCCTTTTAAACTGTAAAACTGTTTACAATCCATTTAAATCCGTTTAAACAGTTCATGAAAGCGTTTAAATGTTTTGCTTATCTGTTTGAAAATATTTGCATCCATTTAATGCTTTAGCTAAAATGTTTATGCGGTTTGCTTATCCGTTTTAAAAAATTTGCATCTGTTTAACACTTTTGCTAAAACGTTTATTAGCAGTCTGCTCATCTGTTTAAAAAAATTTGGATCCGTTTAATGCTGTAGCAAAAACATTTCAACGGTTTGCTTATCTGTTTAAAAAAAAGCAATCTATTTAACATTCCAGGGANACAATTTCAGTTTGTTTACTAACCAACTTGGCTAGTGGAAATTGAAAACCACAAACCAAAACTAAATTTCTACTAGTCTGTGTCAAGCCCTGTACCTAACCCTCAGTTACCATTTAAGTTAATCCTTGAGGCAGCTTCTCTAAAGTTGTGATGATTTTAAGTTACTGAAAAAAAAAAAGAAAAAAACACAAAAAAAAAACCAAAATAAAATGATATTATCAGTTACCTTTGTTGTCTTCATATTCTGCCAGCCTTTTGACACTTGACATCAATACATCATCATATCCAAGGAACTCATCCAACAAGAAACGACTCAAACTATCTCCAAAACACTGCTCCACTGCAGGGTCTAAATAAATTCATGGATAATGTAAAATGTTGCTGTTGTTTTTTTTTCAATCAGAATACATTTGTGACCCTGCATGGGAATATGGACACTAACGCTTTTCCTTTTAAACTGTAAAACTGTTTACAATCCATTTAAATCCGTTTAAACAGTTCATGAAAGCGTTTAAATGTTTTGCTTATCTGTTTGAAAATATTTGCATCCATTTAATGCTTTAGCTAAAATGTTTATGCGGTTTGCTTATCCGTTTTAAAAAATTTGCATCTGTTTAACACTTTTGCTAAAACGTTTATTAGCAGTCTGCTCATCTGTTTAAAAAAATTTGGATCCGTTTAATGCTGTAGCAAAAACGTTTCAACGGTTTGCTTATCTGTTTAAAAAAAAGCAATCTATTTAACATTCCAGGGAAAGCTTTTGACTGTTTGTTTATCATTCTGCTACGAGCAGTTTGAAGTATTAATCTTACGTGCACTCGATACTTGCCGGTTCTTGAAATACAGAACAACCGTATCTTATTTTGGTTTTATCTTTTGCATGTTCATAGAAAGTGAGTAACCATCTCATCCTTTGACAAACAAGTTAAGTTAAAAGGGCTAGAACCAGATCACTCAGTAAGTTAAGCATGTGACAGACCTTATGTTGTATAACATCTATTGGGATGTATCTTGGCCACAGTGAGCTGGGTTGGTTTATTTCACAGACCCCCACTCGACAGACTGCCAAATTGGACTGCTAAATTGGCTACTTTCTTTCTGTTTATATCATCTTGATTCATTCGCCTTGAAAATTATATAAGGTTATGATAATCATTATAGAGAAGTGCTTCAGATGGCAGAGCTGAAAACCCTAAGGGATTGGAGAGAAGACCTCTGCTTAAAATTCTTTAACAACATTGTCTCCAATCCCTTGGATTGTTTATACCACTTACTGCCTTTCGATAACCAAGATCAACTTATGGAGTTACGACTACGCAGACCATTTAGAGTTTCCTTTAAAACAAATCGGTTCAGAGATACTTTCATTCCAGCAAGCGCAAGACATTTTATCTAACATTTATTATAATTGTATATGTAAATTAGTTCCCTTTTAGGTTTGATTTATTGTATAGTTCTATTACATAATTTGTACACCTTTGCAATTCAGTTTCCAGCTGCTATTAAGGTATTCTTAATAAACATCTATCTATCTATCCATCTTTCTTGGTTTTATTGACAATCATTTCAATGGCCCCGCTTGGTGCATGACACCAATTTGACCTTTTATTTGCAATGGACCTTTATTGTGTTATTCGACCTTGAAGTGTTTCAGCTTCCGACAAGGTGGCCACATTGCGTATGCAAATTTGTTTCGCAAAACTTTGGAACAAAAAAAACATGAAGTTCATTTTAATAATAAAAAGAATAAACAAAGAAGATTATGAGTTTCTTGCAGTAGCCATTCACATAGGTGTACGGGCACCTTTGGACTTGGAGGGCGGGGACTTCCTTGCCTGAAAAAAACACGCAATGCCCGAAAGGGTAAGGGTTGAAATCAGGATGCAAATGGAGATGTTCACCATTTTCCCATCTAATGAAACTGCTATCATTGAAAGCTGTCAATAACTGGTAGTTACCAGCTAGGTGACATCAGCTCATATTATGTGATACTTTAATGAATACAAAGATTTACAGATAGAATAGATCGAATAGAATAAATGAATTACTTAATCGAATTTGTGTGGTATTTACCTTTCGCCTTGTTGACCTTGACGGCCGCTTGACCTTTAGTCACCTAAGTTTTTCATGTCTTCTTGAACCTTTTAAGTCCACGGACTTCACAACGAATCGAATGAACTTCAATGAGGAAACCTAAACCTTCCTGTGAACTCGTCAAAATGTTTTCCCGCTCTCCGCGAAATTGGCGCAAAAATTAGGCATGAACTGCAGCAGATATTACCGAAACAATACACTTTACATTTTACAAGATATTATTCAAATTACGAAATCTCTGAAGACACCACTTTCGGGCATCTAATCACCTGAAAAGTAATTAACTAGAAACTTTATTCACAACTTCTGGAAATCACGCCAATGATATTATTTTATAATGTTTTCTCCCAAATGTCATTACCGAATCAAGAGCGTTTTGCCCAAAAAATTACATAATTTCTGCAGCTTAAATTCTTTGCCATCCATTTAAGCAGTTATGGAAACCATGAGCCCTTGCCTATCCATTTAAAACCATTTTTCTAGATCGTTTAACGGAAAAGAGTTAGTGTCCGTTTTCCCATGAAGGTTCACATTTTTAACACATGCAATTTTCTTACAATTTCATCCCTATGCTGCTGAAACTTAATTTAGTACTGAGATTCTTACTTACCAAGTTCAACGACCAAAACAGGAATTCCTAGCTTTTTTCTAGATTCTGAAGAAAGTCTAAGAAAACCATACTCTAAGGCATATTCAACAGCATATTCTTCTTTTCTTTCCTCTAGAAAACAATAAGAATACAGACTTATAATTATTTACCATCCAAATGTTCTATGAAGGTTGCACTTAATTAATAATCACAAGCCCTACTAAGACAACACTATTTACCTGTTACCTCCTTGATTGTGGCATAGAGAAGATAAACTAACTAAGGTTCTCTACTGGCAAAATGGGCATACAAAATGTTAAGTTACAGCCCACCTTCAATCTTGATTGGTGCTAACAGTTCAAAAGCACTGGGCACCACAGTATCCCTAACAGGAAGATGGTTCTTCTGTGGCACATTATCAGATGAATGATCATACACATTGCCAACAGATGATGAATAATTCTCTTCTGATTTCAGACTGGCTCCCACATTACTAATATTTACAAGGATATTTTCTGTAATGTTAGCAGAATTAGTGAAATTAGTTCTTGTTGTATCATTTTCAGATAATCTGCTAACAGCTGCATTTCGTGATATGACTACTCTGAGCACTCCATCTCTAGGCCACTGGTCCTTTATGTGGTCCAAACAGTTTATGGGAGTTCTTGAAAATGCATTGTGTATGTAGCCCAGGATTACAAAGCAAGTGATAGCCTGACAAAAAAAAAAAAAGACATAACCAAAGATATTTAAAACTGTAAATAAATCCTGTCTCTGAATGCTGGACATTATTTAATGTAAGGGAGTTCACAAAGAGTGATGAGTCAGAATTCAGTTTTGACTAGACAGATCCTTAGATAACCAAACAAGTTGATTCTTCTAATTTTGATCACTTTCAAAATCTTCCTAGAGTTATTCCCATTCCTAAAAGATCTACTGGAAAAAGTTTGCAGAGTTCAAGTATAGAAATTCTCAGTTGGAGGTAATGGCAAATGATGACATTAAGCTAAGTTTAAGTCCCCTTAAAATGCTCTTGAGATTTTTTCCACTCTCAAGAACTATACATTCCTCCCAGAGGCAATCAGAGTTGTTGTGTTGTTTACTTTTCCTGCTCTTATGTAAGAGGGCCTCAAATGTGTACATCACAGCAACATCATAGAGGGTTAAAGCTATTGTGATAACTCTAATGGAAAACATGAGTGAAAGTTTAAAACTCCTTTGGATTTTGTATGAATATTCTCTACTAGATCGTTTTTTCCTCATTTTTTTTTTATATACAAATTCGTAGCTTTACAAACATGACCTGAAGAAACCTAGAGTACGGTGGCTTTGGCAAACAACTGTCAATCTAGTTGCCTGTTTTCTTATTGCTGAATACAGTGGGTAAACTATGTACTTATACTATTGTCACTAAATGATGTACAAAGGCTACGCAGTTAAAATGTCTTTGATAATAACATGCATGAAGACTATCAAACATAGCTTTATTCTAATGTCAAATTCACTTTATTTGTAAGGGTTCCGTTATTTAATAATTTAAGACCCTCTGCGTGTAGGTTTCATCGTCTTGTGAGCCACATAGGAAATTCCAAGGCAGTTTTTCTAAGTAACCCAGAGCACGACTAATTTGTTCTTGAAATCCACAAAATTAATCATTACGTGCGAGACGGGATAACTTATTAAGTATTTCATCAACTTCTCGCATATGAACAATTGGAAAACCTTCAGGGTGTATATAGATGCCTTAATCACCTAAATAACAGAAAAAAAGTGTATAAATACCTTCATGAGCACTCCCATCTCTAAAAGAAGGCGAACAGGCGGAGGAAAAGAGCGAGCATACATAAGCGCCATTTTGAAAAACAGGGCGCGGAATAATCTGTCGCGGGCATTTATGAGAGGATTTGTTCCCTCCAATGGCATACTGGCGCTAATCAAACTTCAGAAAGTATTCCAGGTCTTAATAATTGAGGATAATGAAGTCTTTAGCAGGTTAACAATGCCACAAGTCTGCTCCATGTCTCGTAAGGTTCATCTCTCCAAGCGAAATCTTCGCAATAAAGAGGTCCATGTTTTTGATGACGTAGTAGTGCCCAGGTTACCATGCTTATTGGGGCATTATAGGCCGAGGCAGGCGGTGTGCGCACTCCGATTGCATTGCATTGGGGTTGAGGCACAGGGGGCCCGGCAGACAAGCGACGAGTCTGGTTGTTTATTCGAAATATAAAGGACTGTATGGGAGAATATTGAAGAGTCTTATTATCGTAAACTTATATCATGAAATGTCTGAGTTAAAGCTCAAAATAAATGTAAATCTACCTCACTTGTTGTGTATTGTCGTTTCCTACCTCACTTGTTGTGTATTGTCGACTGTTACTATAACGTATAGTAACAGTCGACGCAAAACCCACCAAATAGCTCAAAATCGCCATTCAGAGCCACGGAAACGACAATATACAGCAAGTGAGGTAGGTTTACATTTATTTTGAGCTTTAACTCAGACATTTCATGATATAAGTTTACGATAATAAGACTCTTCAATATTCTCCCATACATTCCTTTATATTTCGAATAAACAACCAGACTCGTCGCTTGTCTGGGTCCCCTGTGATTGGGTTAGCGTTATTTTCAATATGGCGGTAAAATCGGCAGATTTTTACTGAACATTCCGTAAAAGTTAGGCCGTTTCTTTTTCCTTTCACTATAGGTAAATATAATATGATATATATTCTGAATGTGTAGAAGTATTATACGTACGTATTTGTCGCGTATTCTACCGTTCTCAAGGACAAACATAAGCACTGTTTTTTTAGCATTTTGAGACCGGTTTTCGAGAAGGTCAAATTCGTTGTACGTCGTAGTTTGAAACCTTTCAAAGATTTGTATGAAGACAGTTTTGTATGAAGAAGATTTGTATGATCCTTCTTCGACAGTTCTGAGCAAACGCGCTCCAATGGTACAGATGTTTTATGCATTTTAAGTGATAGTGTTCGAGACCTTTTTTAAGGAGTGAAAAGGCCCATTGTTGCGTTTAGTGTGTTGCGTTGCTTAGCGTTACTACTGCAAGGACATTTATTGTATGTACTCAATCGTATTGTAAATCTACTTTCCTAAGTAAAGGAAAATTAACTAATCGCGAGTGTTGTGTGGTAAATCCTCTATCTTGATCACTGAATGAAGGACAGTTCAATTAGAGCAATGAAAAGAGTCACTTGATCCACGAAAATCTAAATCTAAATCTAAATATCGTTATGTCGGCAAAATCGTTTAGGACATCACGCCAACTCTAAGATAATAATAAGTG